CCTCCATATGCAATAAACGATACAAAAGTAACAGCCTATAATTAATGTATCTGCTGTATCGGCTGTTTCTCAGGTAGTTGTTTACATTATATAATTTATTGTGTTTTGTATAGGTCACTACAATGTGATTTTGGAAATGTATAAATATACGAACAACAGGCTCTTCCGCGGCAATCTCTTGTCGTCAATAAGCAACGTTTAGGGAGCTCTATAGTATTCAATGAGAGGACCCTGCACGTCAATTCCCGACGCCAGGGGTACCCTGCGCGTCGATAAGTGAAGCAGAGGGAGCCTGACCATGCGTCACACGTTTGACGAGTTGGGAGTGAGAACGTGTTGATAACTCACAGGAAAACAACCAGGGGGGGAAACAGGTTGACATATGGAGGTATTACAGACAGACCAGTAACAGGCAGAAAAAGGGGAGGGGTTACCAGTCTCTGATGTATTCCAGAAAGAGGATTGATTTGAAGCGGACACTGTATTTAACCTTTTTAATATTGACAACACACAATATAAAAACACGAGTGATGAGTTACATGTACCACACCAGCATCAACAAAACCCTGTTAACATCTGTCCAAAAGATTCAAATGTAAAATGACTTTATTTGCAGATCTGGCAGGTTAAGAAACAGCACATCAATTACCTCTAAGCAGCAACAATGTAGACAAAAAGTGGAAACTAGAAAAAAAAAGTTTTTAACCAAGTGTCCTTCAATCATTTCTGTCTGTTTCAGTTCAATGAACTCTGCAGTGTCATTGTCATAATAAAAGAACCGAAGTCCAGCATAGAGCGGCTGAGTGAATGTGGTCTGGACTCTGTGGAGGAGAGTCATGGTTTCAGAGATGTTTTTCACTGTTGTTACTTTTCTGTTCCCCTCAGATAATAACAGATGTGTGTTTGCTGTGTTTGGATCCAGTGTGATTTCATGTGAATATTTTAAGAATCCAGCTCTGGTCTTTGGCTCTGCTGGTGACAGTAAAACATCCTCTTCAGCAACTCTTGATGAGATGTCTGTCACTTTCTCTTGTATATCTGAAACCATGCAAATGTTCTCCTGGAGCTTCTTGGAGGGGCCACCAGCTTGTGTTTCTTTAACGGAGCTGCATCATAGTGAGGTTGGAGGTGTTTCTCACAGTAAGAGGCTGGACAAGATAAACAGGACTTGATGGCTTTCAGCTTCCTCCCAGTGCAGACATCACAGGCCACATCTTCAGGTCCAGCATAGCAGAGATCAGCTGGAGCAGCTTGGAGTCCAGTCGTCTTCAGCTGCTCCACTAAAGCTGCTAACATGGTGTTTTTCTCCAGGACAGGCCTCGGTGTGAAAGTCTGTCTGCACTGAGGGCAGCTGTGGATTCCCTTCCGTTCCTCTTCATCAAAGTGCATTTTAATACAGTTCATGCAGTAGCTGTGTCCACAGGCTGTAGTCACCGGATTTATCAGTAGATCCAAACAGATGGAGCAAGAAATGTTTTCTTCATCCATTCTCTTTTCTTAGTAACAATGACTTGCTGGTTTGTCTTTTGCAGAAGTGAAACTATTCTGAGCTGTGACCTAATCAATAGGTGTTTACGTGGGAAATGGAGGCTGTCTGCTCTTACACGTCAACAGATGTTGGTTATGCCCATTTTCAAAATATAGACTGAATGGGAGGGAATGAGGAAACAGACAAAGAGGAGGTGCTGTCAGGTAGAAGGGGAGGAGTTATCAGTATCTGGTGTATTCCAGGATGAGGTTTGAGTTTGAAGTAAATACCTTTTTTATAAACAGTATATTAAAAAATGTTGGTGAGCTCAGTTTTTAGGTGGTAAATTCAGGAAAACCCGTAAAATTGTTATTAAATGGAATCAGAATGGGCTCTCTGATAGGAGCGACACTTAAATGAGGTAAACAAACCCATCACTGCAACATTTACAGTAACATCTTTAAATAAATAAATGATTCTGAATGAAACTACAGAAATATCTACAACCACTGTAACAAACACTTATCAGAAAAACTGCAACTGCAATCTGCAACTAAGTTTGTTACTGAAATTGCAAAAATTACAAAAAAAACCCCTCATGTTTACAACAATGCCTACAGCTACACAAGGCAACTCCCACAACTAATCAGACACTATAGCTAAACTAACCTGTGACACTAATGCAACACCTACAATGAAGAAAGTGACCACTGACAGTACACCTGCAACTAACAATGCCAATAGCAACAATAGCAACAATAGCACAACAACAAGGATCACTTTGGCAACTTTTGCAACTTTATTTGAGTTGCAGCAACCTTAAAAACATGTGACTAAAGATTCCAACTTGGATAATAAATGTAAAACAAGCACAAAAAAACTGTAAGTAAGCATAGCTACTGCAACCCAACAAACACATTGAAGCAGTGGCAACGTCTGCAACTAATTCAATGACTGAAACTAGAAGCAACATCATCAGCAAAGTATAGTAACAGTTTTAACCACAAAACCTGCAAACTACAGCAGCATCTTCTACAAAACATGGTAACTTCTGCAATTAAACTAGCATCTGAAACTACATATAGCAACTGCAGCAAAATCAATTTCATTATCAGGCCGGGGTCTTTCTGTTTAGAGTTCTCTTCTCCTCGTGTTTGTGTGGTTCTCCCCGGGTACTACGGCTTCCTCCCACAGTCCAAAGACATGCAATTAGTGGGGATAGGTGTGAATGTGAGTGTGAATGGTTGTCTGTGTATGTGGGTTATCCCTGGGACAGATTGGCGACATGTCCAAGGTGTACCCTGCCTCTTGTCTTAAGACAGCTGGAACAGGCTCCAGTGCCCCTCGACCTTGAAAAAAGATAAGCGGAAATGAATGAAAGGATATGATTATGATTATCAGTTTTACTAGCAGTGATGTAATAGCAGTGATAGCTGTGCATGGTGTACCAGTAACAGATGGATAAACATAACATAACTGTATTTATAAATGGCATAGTAAGAATGAAGCACCTGCCAATACCTCACTAATACTTACTAGTGTGACATTATTATAAAGTGCTACCCATGTATTGAACTGTTATTTGTTGTTCATAATCCATATGTCTCGTTGATGTGAGTGTACATTACCAGTCAAAAGTTTGGACACACCTTCTCATTTAATGTTTTTTCTTGTTTTCATGATCAAAACTATGAATTAACACGTATTGAATTATGCAGTAAGCAATAAAATCTGAAATTACTCAAAACCTATTTTAGATTCTTCAAAATAGCCACCCTTTGCTTTGATTACTGCTTTGTACACTCTTGGCATTCTCTCGATGAGCTTCAATGTGTAATCACCTGAAATGTTCTTCCAACAGTCTTGAAGGTGTTCCCAGAGATGCTGAGCACTTGTTGGCCCTTTGCTTTCACTCTGCGCTCCATCTCATCCCAAACCATCTGGATTGGGTTTAGGTCAGGTGACTGTGGAGGCCGGGCCAGCTGGCGCAGCACTTTATAGTCCATTTCAAACAATCTGATGATAGACAAGGAGTACAAAAATAAGCATACCTTAGCATGGTTGTCAAATCCACCTTTGTTCCTATTGTAATCCAGAATGGCCCAATGATAGTTGCAGTTATCTCCAAAACCATGTGCTGCCCTTGGTTCTTTTTGAGGAACACCGTCTTCATGTTTCCCAGTACATACTTGAATGTTTCAGGCATAACTTGTCCTGCCATGATATGTTGCCCAGATCGTTATGCTACATTTAAATGGCACTCTTGGCATATACTGTGTAAAAGGGCAGCATCCCCTAAAAGTGACTAGATGCTCATCAACTGATGTTTGGATTGGGTTAAAAATGAGGGGCAGGCACGCCATCCACTGACTGCCAGCTTGTCTTGTTGATGACGGCCTGGTCTTGAATCACAGTTGTTAAAGTGAATCACGCATGGCAACATGGGAAATTCATTGAGTGATTGGCCCAAAAGATTGTCCAGCCAGACTCTGCATGAACTTCTGGTAGATTCATTTCTAGATCTGTACAAATCAAATGACTCATGTATGGTTTCATGTCTGTCTGGGTTACCTCCTTCCAAATGTCTTTGTGAATCTATTTCACATCCAAGTTATTCGTGTTTACCACTATGACTTTGATAGACTCAGTCAGGAATTGTCCAATGCAGGATGTGATGTGATTAATCCAGGATATGACATATTTTTAGTCCTGGGGCAGAAGTGTGCAAGATTGGGCACCACGGCAGCTTCCACTGCTGTCGGGGGGGCTGAGATGGCGGCCCTGAGTCTGCCGCCAACCTCACGGGGCAGATTCGCAGACGTCTGCAGAGTTGTGCTGGACTAAATGGGCCTCACTCCGGACGATCATCACCGGCACTTCAGGGCCTGAACTATTGAACTGTTATATCAGTCTGATCAAGTTAACAATATTTTTCAGAGATGAAACTTTTAACTCAGTCAAATTTTACTGGAACACAATACAGTGATTAACTGAGGAAGTTTTATATAAGGTGTCATTTTATTCCATACAAAGTTGTTTGAGTGCATATTACTTCTTCTTTTCACAGGGTTGCGCATATTTCAATGGCTAGTTTTCTTAAACAAAAGAAAAAGGAACCAACCAGAGAATAACACAAAAACACCCAACCAAACTGATCACTTCTCTAAATTGAAACATGACAGTGCACATAAATGAAAAACAGTTTCCCATAAAGAATAACTCTTGTGTAGAAGATATAACAAACTAGAAATGGGATGTTTTACATTAAATACCTTAATTAGAACAACATACAACATTTACAAAGATATATGAGGCTGTATTGTTTCTGCAGAGTGAAACACTTTTCCTTCATTAAAACAAAGCCAATCATTAACTAGACAACAAATAATGCAATGTCAAAGTCGCACCTATAAAGTGTTACTGACAGGCTAAGCAACAGCACATCAATAACGTCTGAGCAACAATGAAAGAGACCAACGAAAGTGGAAACCGAAAAACCTGTTTTAACCAAGTGTCCTTCAATCATTTCTGTCTATTTCAGTGTAATGAACTCTGCGGTGTCACTGTCATAATAAAAGAACCGAAGTCCAGCATAGAGCGGCTGAGTGAATGTGGTCTGGACTCTGTGGAGGAGAGTCATGGTTTCAGAGACGCTGTAGAAAGACAGAATACCTGCTCTGTGATCCAGGTACACTCCTACTCTGGAGGACCGAGGACCTGAGAGGTTGGTTCGGACTTCATTGTGCCAAAACTGAAAACCATTTGAATCGTAACGTAAAGACCAAGATTTGTCGTTGAATCCAAATTTGCATTCATCAGAGCTCCCTGCTCTGCTGATATTCTTGTATGCAACTGCTACACCAACTCCTCTCCCTCTCCACTCCACCTCCCAGTAACAACGTCCAGTCAGACTCTCTCTACTCAGGATCTGAAGCCATGCAGTGAATCTGTCTGGATGAACAGAATAAGACTGCTGTTGTTCCATTCTTGTTACTTTTCTGTTCCCCTCAGATAATAACAGATGTGTATTTGCTGTGTTTGGATCCAGTGTGATTTCTTGTGAACATTTTAAGAATCCAGCTCTGGTCTTTGGCTCTGGTGGTGACAGTAAAACATCCTCTTCAGTGACTGTCAGTGAGATGTTTGTCCATTCCTCTCTCAGAATGTCCTGTAGTTTATCTCTGGTCTCTGACACAGCTGCTGTCACATCCTCAAAGTAGCTCAGATGGAACAAGAGAAGGTTTCTCGGTCCAGCTGAACGCCTTTCTGCGCCATTTCTCCTCTCAGTAATAATGACAGTGTAGGTTCCTCTTTGTAGAAGTGAAACTAATCTAAACCCAACATATGTGTTGTAGGCTGATAGCTGTCGGTGAGGGAATGAGGTGACATCACCAAGAGGAGGTGCTGTGTTTCAGTGAAATGAGGTAAGAGTTGTGAGTCTTACATTTAAACATTTTGGTCGGCTCAGTTTTTAGGTGGCAATTTCTGCTTAATCGTGCCTTTAAACAGGCGACTTAAATGAATTCAGCAGTTCTCTCACTGCAGCATTTACGGCAACCCTTATAAAAAAAATGACTTAGCAATTAAACTAGAGCAATATCTGAAACCAGTGTAACTAACAACACCAATGTGAACAACGTCTAAAATTGTCACTGAAATTGCCAAAACTGCTAAACTGTGTCTACAGCATTGCCTACAACTACACAAGGCAACTCCCACAATCTCCCAAAAATCTGCAGGGTAACAAACCTGTGAAACTAACAAAACACCTGGAGTGATGCAAGCAACCATTGACACTATACCTGCAACTAACAAAATCAATGGAAACTACAGAAACCTCTGGCAGCAAAACCAACAACAGAAAGTGATCCCTTTTGCAGTTGAATAACCACTGTAACTGCAGCAACCTTAAAAACAACAAGATTCCATACTGTGCAACACATGTAAAACATTGCAAGCACACCAATCCTGTAATGACAACTTCTGCATTGTAATTCTTTAGCTGGCCCAAATTCTCATTTAGATTTGAAAGCATTTCACATACGTAAAGGCAGATGGCATAAGCATGAATTAAGACAAATGTTTGGGGAAGGCCTCAGAGCAGAATAGCAGTGGTGGCTCCCAGCCCAGGCAGATTCGCATATAGTAATGAGAGGAGAGTGAATTGAAATATAGTCCCTGTAGCTTCTGCACCGTGGCTGCTGGGTGACCCCGAGTCTGGGGCTCTCCTCAGCTCCTTCCAGGAGGGTGGCACAGTGGCACCTGCTAATTAATGTGACTTCTGTATGAAACTACAGCAATGCCTGGAAATCAGTCATATGTTTGCATCACTGTAGGGTCTTTATAGTATAAAGCACCTTGAGTGAACAGTTGTTGTGATTTGGCGCTATATAGATAAAACTGAGATTAATTGAGGAGCTTGTGTAACATTTTCATGTCTTTGAACGTTGAACGCTGAAACCTCGGAAAACAGTGAATATAGGAGTCGCAGTTTGTATTAAACAGAATACATATAGAATACATTTAAAAATGTTGGTCACCTCAGGTCTTACTTTGTAATTTCTGATCAATGATCATACAATCATTGAAAATCTGTCAAACCTAGAATGAGGAAAAGAGTAAGACCACATACAAGATTCTTATTTGTCGTTAAGGATGTGACAGAGGAGGATGCTAGGGACTGGATGAGATGGTGGCAGAGGATCTGCTGTGGTGATTCCCTAAATGGAGCAGCCAAAAGAAAAAGACGTGCTGACGTCATGAGTCGGTCAGTATGCTTAAAATACCAGTTTTCTAACTGACTGTCAGCTTTCACTGTGCAAAATGTGAATATTTTGTTTCCTCACTAGGAGGAAAACATTTAGGAGTAATGGTCATGTGCACTCTGCACCTCCAGACCTAAACACTATGAGAAGCTTTTAAAGATTACATGTGTCCAACTCCAGTGTTGTCAGAGTTCCTAAACAGACTCAGGCGCAGACGAGGGATCCTTGCAGAAAAGACAGTGAATGTATTTACAGTGACAACACCAAGTGATTATATATATACACAATGTTCTAGAGGGGCTCCAGGGACCGTGGGGAAAAGGAAGGGATCAAACATGCTCCACTCCTCTCCAAATCACACTCACTTGCAGGATTTCAGGTAGGCAGGTCTAGGAAAGATCTACACAAAGAAGCGTCAGTTAGTAACGACAACAACTCAAGGATTCTAGTTTTCAGATTAAAGGGTGCCTGACACAGATTGCTCAATGATCCAACGATGAGTAGCAAAGCACTACTGTCTTAAGAAGGGCTCAAGATTAGTGGAGATCAGCAGCAGGTGGGGAGATTGAACGCAGGTGCGTGGGCCAAGGGCGGGAGCCCGTAATAAGCACCGCCCCAGCAGAGGAGAGAGAGAGAGAGAGCAGAAAACAAAAAAAAAACAAAAAAAAAAAACATGTTGCCTAACAAGGGGTCAGCTGGCGAGGCACAGGGACCATGACAAATGTGCAGTTGTCCTGTCATTCACAAGTTAATAGATTAACTCAGAAATAAATAGAAATACTCAGTGCATGAAGATCACGAGTGCTGGAAACATTAGCAAAACAACTGGTAAAGTTGGAGACTTGCAGTGTGCGAGCTGTTGTCATGTACATTGTTAACTATGTTTCAGCTCAGTAACTGCCTCGTTTGTTTGTTTTGCATAGATGTGCATGTATTTATTTTATTGTTGCTCTGTTTTGACGATGCTAATTTGAGATGCTGTCATCTCTGAGATGAGTTTTTGTACCTGATCTCTGGGCAGGAACAATAAACTTGACTAAACTGATATTAAAAACACTGATTTGTTCTAATCCAGATGTAGTAGCTTTATGATGGTTTCTGCAGGTTGAAGAACAGCTGGAATCATCATCTGAACATTTAACCTTTGTAAGAGCAGCACAAAGACGCAGAAACAGGCTCTCTCTCAGTGTCGTTTTACAAATACTGTAATGTTACAGCTGCAGTAAAACCAAGATGAAAATAATCAGGGTGAATTTAATTGTTACTGAAACAACATGTAAGGTCTTCACTAAATGCCTCACCATCTGCAATCCCTCTATAATCAGTCGTGTTTTTAGGCTATAAAGCTGTAAAACGATGAAAGTCCACAAAAACACCACTGCAAGCATCACAGGGAAACATTAGAATAGAATAGAATAGAATAGAATAGCCTTTATTGTCATTGTACAGAGTACAACGAAATTGGAGTGCCGCTCCCTTGGTGCAAGTTTCAATAATAAATATAAATGTAAAATATAAAAGTACAAAAAAAAAAAACCCACAATCGTAAGTACTCAAACAATAGTATGTACAATATATACAGGATAGCAGCATTGATATAATGACAGTGTGGCACACAGTGACTGTTTCGCTTCCTGCAGCAAAGCAGAAAATATGCAAGTGAGGAACAAAATCCAACAGATTTAACAGAAGTAATGACCTTTTTTTTCTGTCCTGCTAAAACACATCACCAATAGCAGAAACATTAGACGTGCTTGTTTAACTAAAGGAGAATCGCAGAGAGAACCAGGACACCAGCACTTAAGCAGCTAACACATAATAAAGGGAGCTGCAAAGGAAAAACAGGGAGAATAAAAACACCATAAACAACATCCTGACTCATCTGCATGAATCACAGCAGGTTCATCTGGAGTGTGTTTGTTTTAATTCTTGCTCTGAGTTCACACTTGAGCGCCTGTGCACACAGAAGCATCTCTGCCTTTTTGTACCTCTGGTCACATTAAGATGGGCAGCGAGAGACTTTGGAGGGGCTTGCTCACATAAAATCAAATACAGTTGACATAATCTTCCGACAGCAGAATCTTTTTTCTGGATAAATCAAAATCAGAGACTTGAACACCTACACAGCATCTGAACATGTGCATACTGTCCTCACTACAGTACCAAAGCTCATCATCTTGATATGACTTATGGTTCCATAACAGGGTGTCAGTTCTGGAGTTTCCCCAAAATTACTGTTAACAGTACATATTCAGTCATAACCACACAGGCACTGCCTCTAAATAAAACCCAGTATCTGTACCCCACTCTGACAGTGTATCTGCTCATTTCCTGTTGTTTTCACAGAGAGCTCGATTCTTGGTTTCCCCCCCAAAAACACCCCATGATGTGAAGATGATAGTAATGAGTTACACACACCATCAGAGGGGGCAAAAGTACAGACGTTCTTTACTTAAGTAGAAGTACAGATACCTGTGTTTTTAAAAAATATTCTCCAGTAAAAGCACTGAAACAACTTCTTTGAGTAAAAGTGAAAAAGTACAGTTTACAAGTTACAAGGTAACTAAAGCTTGTGCTATATTAATATAAGAATATAATCAGAAAATATTATCAGTGCACAAGAATACAAATATTATTCTAATCTAAATTCTAATTCTAATGAATGTGCTTATTTTGATTTGAAAGATTTCAAAACAATAACTGTTTCCTGTTGCCTACTTTGTAGAGGGTGACTTTGCCTCTAAACAGGAAAATGAGCAGTCAGGGGTTGAAGTGGTGGAGGAACTCTAAAATTAGTAATGGCGCTCAGTGTAGGGAAAAAATGATGGCCCACAATAATTTCTGATGTAAGCTTCATAAAGTTTTCTTAGTGTAAAGGCTGCAATCAGCTGACCTGCTGCTCTTTGTGGATTTACACAACTGAACTTAACAACATGTACACAGTTTCACCAGCTCTGATGTCCATCCCCTACACTCACACTATGCGGCTTCACACTAGACAGTATACAGCTAGAATAAAGTTTCAATTCAGTTAAATAATCTAAGCATCATTATCTTAAATGCAAATTCATTTCTGCCACACTTGATGTAACCATAAGCTGTCCAACAGTGTTTTATAGTGAATTCACCACATGAATGCAAACTAACCTGTTTTCCCCGGACACAACAACACACTAGCTACTCTGAAGTACCACAACCATAACTCCAGCCCACTTTCATCCCTGAGTATAAACACTAGATGAACTTAAAGGAACAAGTCTGCTTTGGAAATGTAAGGAGTAGAAAGCACAGATATTTATACACAGTTTAATAATGTAGGGAGTAAAACTAAAAATAA